AAAAGGTTTAGATACCAATTATAGGTAGCAGGACCAGTGCTGAAGTGAAAGGAAATATCTTAAAAGATTTTTTTGAAAAAAACATTTCTTCTTAGAGGACGCTTATTTACAATTAAAAACGTATTTTAGGAATTTTTTTCATTAAATTTCTCTTTAAACTTCATTAAATAATACAATTTTGTACAAATAATTGAATGTTATGCTACTATTTACAAAAATAAAATCTGAAATCCAATAAAAGATAAGTTCTCTATCATTTTTTCAATACACAAATGATGTTGCCCTCACAATAAGACAAAATGGCCCCGGAGAGTTTCGGACTAAAATTATGTACCTCAAACAAAGCTTGTCAAAGTCATTCACTTAAAGAAAAAGTTCTACTTGTGACATTTTTCTATGTAGACTGAATATCTTTGTTAACCCAATCCCTATTCAAGTCTTTTAAAATGCCATTTTTAAGTTTATGGGGCATTATGGCTTTTTAAATTATCCCTTGAAATATGTGGTATTGACAGTACCCACCATTTTCCTCTAACAGTAATTGGGTAGGTTACGCAGAATAACAGGAGACTCAACAGAAAATTTATCGTGGACCAAATCTCAATTCTCTGACTTTTTATTCAGTTTACAAAGACATTCAAAACTAGTGTACTTATGGAGGATGGTGCCTTTACTGGAGAGAGAGCATGGCATCTGTATGTATGTATCCAAGACTAGGAAAACATAGCATACAGGAAACATTAGTGCTATTTTTATCAGGGCACATGCAATACCCATGTGACTGCTGTTCATACCCAAAGAAAATAAGGGAGGTTACATCTTCAAGGGGTCATCTGACCCACCAGTAGAAAAGACTTTTGTCTACTTTCACATAGTATATTCAACTGTATAGAAATCTTTCCCATGAGAAGGCACATATGACACACTAGGTGAATTTTCCAAGAGAATAGGTAACTAGGGTGAAAGGAGCTTAGTTAATTCCTTGACTGGCATGCTGTGTTAAACTACAGACAGCTACATGCATGAAAAGTTTGAAAAGTTTTGCATTAAACAAAGGGATAGAAAACACGTGGTGTACTTGCACACCCAAAGTCTGTTGTAGAAATTTGTTTGTTATAAAAAGTATCATCTGCTAGTGCCTACATCAAGTGCAACATCATGCAAAGCTAATGTTCATGAACTTAATTTCAACTGTTTGAAATACTATGCATAATTGGCTTCTTATGTGAGTAATAGCCAATTAGAAATGCTGTTTCATAGATTCTTCTTGCTCATCGTAAGCAACAGATGGTGGTCAGTTTTGCAACATAGCAGCTATACATTAATTTTTTTATTGTGGATTTTGTGATAAATATTGGCCATAGGACTTATTTGTACACAATGCAAATTGGTAACTCACTTTACTTGTATCAGGTAGTATTTTACTTGCAAAACATAATTGTTACATGGTAAATTTTGAATCCTGTAATCTGATGGTATTGCATATGAACATGCTCTTTTATTGCCTATGAGATATTTGGACATGAATGTGCTTGATGATATAGATTTTGTATATCTGAGTCTTGAGGCTCTTGCTAATTTTTTTTTTATACCAACTTATCTCTAAAATGGATTGGTTCATTAAATTTTTTTTTCCTTATGGTGTTTGGCTTCTATCAAAATTGTTGTGTAGCATTTTTTAGTTTTTAATAAACCTGGTGATATTAAGTGTTATCTACCAAATGAAGCCAAGCTTTAAGAAATAAAGTTGCTGCTCTTTGGATGTAGTCTTCAAGGAAGTATGGAGAGCTTACAGATGACAAAAATTGTGAGCCCATTTACAATGTACCATTGGTCAGGATGAAATATTTTAAATTTCAAGAGTAGTAGTAAGAATTCATGTAACATCTGTCTGACTCTAGGGACAATTGTATACGTTGATTTGAGGTGTCAGCTTACTCAACATTTAGTGTCTCATGATTTAGGCTAGTGAAATCAATATGTAAGGGATTTAGATGAATTCACAGTCTCAGTCATTCAGTTTTTAGAATGAAATCTTCTATATATGTTACTTTCTTTACTTTAGTAACAGTTATTTTTGAAATTTGTACTCGCTTAAACAAGAAATTAAGTTTTTTGATACATTGAATAGTCCGTTTCCTCTGAACATTATAGAACACCACATACTTATGACAAATCTTTTAAGATCCAACCAATAATGTAAGGGTTAAGCATGAAGTATGGATTGAGCATTTTTGTGTTAACTTGCTTGAATATTCTATAATGAGCTTTTAGGAGCAGTTTGTTTATTGTTATGATTTATGACTTAAATCAAGTTAAACAAGAATATTTACCTTTGTACTTCACTGTTTTCTTTGTTTATTCTACAGGTAGGTTAATTTTTTGATAGTTTAAGTAAGATGTAGTTTTCTTACTATTTAAGCCAAATTATAAGAAAACAGTGATTGGCATATCTGAAAATACCAAGAATTGTAATTAGAGGAGTATTATTTCATCAGATTGCTCTTTTTATGCTTGTCCTGAGGTTTTTTTGTTGTTTATTGAACCTCACTTAAATTCCAAGTATAACTTATAAATACAAGGCATTTTGTAGTCATGGCTTTCAGTACTGAAGAGCATTTTATGAATAATGTGCAGCCAATCTTATTGTTCGATCTCAAAACTTACTAATATATGCCTCTTTTACCAGTTAAATATATTTTCCATCATACACATTAAATATCAAACATTCACATCTGTTCTTCAATAAATTTCTAAACTATTTTTGATCTTAAACCACACCATTTTTTGAATATTTTAAGCATTTGGCACTAGATGTACGTGTTAATGTTTTACTCATTTGTAATTAGGACTTTTTCCCAACAAGTCGACGTACACCAGAGATCTTTTCTGAAACTTTTGATAACCATGGTTTAAGCTCTCTCCTCGAATATCTGGTTAGTATCTTTTCTTTCAAAGTTAAATTGAGGTAATGTATCATAAGTAATATTACTTTATGTAGTTTAAGAAATAGCTGTTTCATTTATAAATTGCTGTTAATCTATGCAAATTGCAGCAAAAACTAAAATTGTAAAGCAGTTTGTTTTTTTATAATGCAATACCTCATAACATAACGTGGTACTTTCCTTCACTGAAGCTCTTCTGCTACCTATGTTTTCACTACACATTCACAACCTTGCCATTGATGAATACAATTTTGAACTGATGATAAAATTGTATGTCATCTTTCCCACTTTAACTATTTGCTTTATTGCCAAAATTGTTTAAAATAATATCTGAAGGTTCTTTTATTTTTCCTTGGTATGTATTTCAATAATTGAGAAATAAAACATAGTTAAAGTGTTGCAATTTGTGTCATTAAGGCAACCTTACAAACCATTTGACATTCTAACATTTGCTTGAAGCTAAGTTTCATGAATGAGCATTCAAATACTTATAATTATACTGCCGCTTTTAGAAAGAAATGTCAAAATGTAAGATTCCGTCATCTCAATTCCCATCACTAGAACCAACTATTAGGTTATGATTCTTCTACCATTTCAAGCAATGCAACTTTTTTTTCAGCTGAAGTTCAAAATCACATTAGCAAAACAGATCTATCAAATCATCATGGTTTCAAAGTCTTCCTTGGTCATTTTCTGAGTGTTGCCAGTTCTTATGTTCATTATATGAAAAAGCTAAGAATAGTAATATTTTCACAAAAGGTATGTTCATTAACTTGTTTGTTAATTCTGAACTGTTTTAATTACTGTATTTGAAGCATTATTGACATCAAAAGTTGTATCTTGATAAAGCTACTTTCAGGGCTTTACATTAGCATTAGTCCAATACTAACTCTCCAACTAGTAAAAGGTGTACAGATACTTATGTTTCTACTCTACAGTTCACTATTTTATTGTCAATTACATTTAGGCTATCACACTATCTTGTTTGTTTTAACTCTTTCTATTCACTTAAAGGGCTTGGGCATGTTTTTATGTTGGAATGTAAGTGTTTAGAATAACGAAAAGAATTTATGATGTTTTCTGTGCATGATCTGCATGACTAGAAGAGCTGTTGAACTGGCCATATGGTTATGGTGATGTGTTGGCTTGGAATACTTAATTTTAAAATCTTTGCAAAAATTGCTACAAAGTTGTTTTTCTTCATATATGTAGTTTTAATTTTATTAAACATCACAAGTTTCCATTATGAGGGTCATAAAAAAGTATACAGATGTTGCTTTGCATATCATATTGTGTTTTATTTTACTCATCTTGTATACAAAACAAAGATAATGAAAAAAATAAAAATTGTTATATAAACATTTTAAAAAGTCAGCTTCGCAAAAGAAAAAAAAATGGTCAGGGCAAGCAAGTTAATGTATAAAGCCCTGACTTTAATGTTTGGTTTCTCGCTTGGAGATAGATCATGCGAAAATCCAAAGGATGACTTGGTTAAACACGTGCACACTGAAGATCACAAGAAATCAGAAGCTGTAGTAACTGTGAGAGCCTACATGGAAAAGCAATAACAAATACATACTCAAAAGCACAAGAAGTCATCATAATTATTATCACCAACATGTACTTGCTGACCAAGGAACAGATAGCACATAGAAATCTAGTCTTTGTGAATGATCTGAATAATTATTATCACCAACATGTACTTGCTGACCAAGGAACAGATAGCACATAGAAATCTAGTCTTTGTGAATGATCTGAATAATTATTATCACCAACATGTACTTGCTGACCAAGGAACAGATAGCACATAGAAATCTAGTCTTTGTGAATGATCTGTTAAAGTTCTGGGTAGGTATATGAACAGTTGGTTCTTTAAAACTAGAAAAAAATTGAAAATATTTGTTGATTTCTTGTGTGCAACAACTTTTAGTGCAAACTATTTTGTGTAATTTTGTAACTGTCACAGATACTGAATATTGTAATATATCATTCAATGTAATATGAATATACATGCTGAAAAATATTTAATATGAGAATAATCTTTTTTTTTTTTGTTCATTTGAAATTACAGGAATGTCTACATTTGGATATACTCCAATTGGATATGAGGAAAATGTATACACACAATGATTCCATAGATGATTTTCAGAGGGCAATATGCTGAGTGACTGAAGAAGATATTCTTTAGTTTCAAAATGTACTATATGACTACTGATGAGTTAACAGATACATCAGTGACAAAAATGGATAATGTACATCAGGTGTGTTGTAAATGGCAAAATTCAGTCACATTTTATTTTTTCAATGTGGAAGACTTAAATGAAGCCAGTGCTACAGGTATATGTAAAATTATCAGTGAAGTTATTCAGGTTAGAGGTTTAAAAGTAGCTAACTTAATAGTTTTGGATAAAGATGGTGCTACTGTAATGACAAGTCATAAATCTGGAGTTGCTACAAGGATGAAAAATTAACAGACATTTGTTAAGTCTCCACTGCTTAGCTTATAATCTGGCACTTGCTAATTCCCAGGCAGGAGACATAGTACAGTACTTTGTTAAATACCAGGATACTGTAGATGCCATTTTCAGATATTTCCACTACTCTGCAGAACATTTATCAAAGTTGAAGAAAATGTATGATATTTACAAGAGGCAGAGAAAGGTGTTTGATTCTTGTTGGCTGTAATTTAGTGGTGCTATAGAATCACTTGTAAAATATTGGGTTGTCTCATTGCTGTTCTGAAGGACGATGAATCAAATCATGAAGATTCTAAGACAACTGGTATGTTGAAAAACACCATGAATTTGAATTTCAAGTATTGACTCATTTTTTTGCAATATTCTCTTGGAATTTTGAAGAGATTGTGTTTATCAATTTAGAAAGAAAATATCAATTTTGTAAATGTTTACCTACTAGTCTAAGGTAATATTAATGCTTTTATAGCACTGAAAAATATGCCTACTCCATGCTTACAAAGTTGTTTTCCACAGGAATCAGCCACAGACAGTAGAAGTCTGTACACATTCATTGTGAACAATCATAATTTATCTGATGGTGATAAAAGGAGAACCATTTTTGACTAATCCAAGAGTTTATTGGTTGACAATTTGGTGCAGGAATTGAATGACAGGTTTCTTGATATGATTATTATGAAAGCCTTGAAAATACTTCATCCTAGTTTCCTGCCAGAAAAAAAGAAACAATAGATGCTCATCTATGGTTATGTTGAATTAGAAAAGCTCATCCAGCACTTTGGAGTCCAGAATGTTGCAGATGGATGAACCCATGAATTTTATATTTATCATTGTGAATAAAGATCAGAGTGGCTATATATGAAGTATGTCATGGTCTCATTCAGACACATGAATACCATAGGATTTACATATATTATCATTACAATATATGCATTGGACTATCCTATGATTTGTAAGTTAGGAGAACGATTATATCTCTGTTGCTTTCAGTAAGCACAATTAATTGTGAAAAGGGATATATCAAACCAAATTAAAAGAGTTTCAAGAAACAGACTTAAAGTTGCAAGTGTGCAGCAACTAATGTTTATCAAAGAGGAAAGAACCATCATTTGAAGAGTTTGACTAAGACTGAGCTTATGTCAACTGGTGCAATGGCAGAGAGAAGCACGTTTTTCAGTCTTCAGCTGAACAGTTACTGTGCAGGACAGTCATAACAGGCTCAAGGAAGCTGTTGTTCTAACCTGCAAGAATACAACCAAGAACTTTTAATGTAAAAACTAAGTGATCAGATGACTTCAAGAGAATAAAACTAATGGCTGTAAATTTTGTTTTATTTTTGTTCTTTACTTCATCAAATGTTACAAAACAAGAACTGTTTAAATTTTGAGTCCTGTAACATGAATGAAATTGTACATTTATAACTACTAGTCCTCAGCTAGAAAAAGGTTGGGAACCACTGGTATAGAGTATATGGATATCTGTGGGTTTGGGTATGTAATGCATAAACAATAGCTACTTAGACTAAAACATGATCAGTGTTTCCTCTAAGTCCAGAACTTCTTTAGCCAAATGACAGATGGATTAGCCATCTCACATGAATCCAAGGCCTCAAAGATTTATTCCAGTTTTTGTGTTCTATAAACAACCTATACAAAATAAAATACACAGATTGCTTTTTGCACTTTTAATTACTCATAATATTATGTTGTAAAATAATGTACTTCATTAGCTTTTTTAAAACTTTTTTTTTTCAACTGTCTTTCAGAACAGCTAAAATCTGCTTATGGACCAGTCTCAATATATTGATTAAGTCCTAAGTATTTTTTTATTTCTCCATCTACTCTTATCACTTCAAGATTAGGGGATGACTAACACAGATAGTTCTTGTGTAGCTTTGTATGAAACTCAACAAAAATAAGTCCTAACTAATACTTCTAGTTCATAAAGTTTGAAATAACTATCAGTATGTTCATAGTTGTATAGAAAAGCTCAAATATCCTGGAAAAGGGCTATGAATTTATCATTTGTTTAAAGATTATTTTAAGAGTAAAATCAAGTTATTCTCAAAACTAGCCCTGTTTTTATTGAAAATATTTAAAACTTTCTTTTGATACTGTTCTGAACCAATATCAACCTATTTTTTTATGTCTTATTGTTTTTACATAAAAACAAGATATTTCTTAGCGATGTAAAATAAGTTTCGTTAATGGGTAAGATGCAGATTTTAACCTGGCAAAAAGTGTGCACTCGTATGTTTGAACTTTACAGTTGTTTTATTTGAGCTTTAAAATATTTCTTTTTAAAGAAAATTAAAAAGCATCCATAACTTTTTGCTACTTGGATTTTCATAGCACATCATAAACACTTGCTCTAGATTATACTTTTCTTATAACACAGTTATAAGTTGTAGGAATATAAATTTGTAATATGCTACTATGTGCTAATTAGTATTTTATTATACATTGCTTTCAAACAAATGTTGTTAACCAAAGTATATAAAACACTACTTAAATCAATTTTTTTGGTTGTTAGCTTTGCCAACTTCTAGTGCACATAAATTGAAATGCAAAGTTTTTTGTACTGAAATCAAACATACCTATAATAATGAATGACAAAGTTATAATTTCCTTTTACTTTAAAATTCTTTGAATACCCTTTTGATCATGTTGTCTTATAAAGGAAGTGAATTGAGCCATCATTGGTATAGCCTATTAAGTGATTTGAGCACAGTAATGGTTTAGAATGGCAAAGGAAAAATTTTAATGAGCTATTACTTTTACTATGTGTAAACAGCTGTATCTACTTTTGTATATATCAAGAAAAAGTAGCATACAGATGAGGCATGTGCAGTGTTTGTTGATTTTGTACATAGTTTTCCAACTAAATATACTACTAGACAGCATATTTTTTTATTTTTACATTCTTATTGAATTTTATGAGTTCTAGATAACAAATCTGTAGATGCTGGATTATAATTTTACATGATCCAGGAATCCATCCTTAACTGAAACAAGATAAATGACTAAAACATTAAAAGGTTAAGGTTAGTATGTTTAGTGAGTTGAAGCATTACCATGATTTTGTGTATCATACGTAATTAGTTGAGAAAATGTGTGACATTATAAAACACAGCAGGAAATGCTTTGGTCAGTTATTAGCTAATAATCAGGCTAATAATGCCTGATTATACAGTATACTATCTTGTGATACAGGTGAGTAAATAACAAGTGTCCTATCTTCTTTTGAACAGAAAGCCCACCAAAGTACTTCTGTAAAGAAGGATTTGCAACAACAGGTTGCCCCTCTTCTGAGAAATGATGCTTCCACAAAGGAGGTTTGTATATATATAGTATATTCTGTATACTTGAAGGACTATTGTGTGTGTGTGTATCTAGCTATATGTATATACATTTTCAAATGGCATCCCAATATGAAACTCTTGTCATAATGTGTGTTGCCTAAGCTTAAGTTTGAATATATTGGCAACTAGCAGTGAATCAGATTACCCAAAATGAGTATACATGCATTTTGTGTTCTTTACTCTGTAGATATCAGCATACTTATGGCAGGAAAGTGACTGCAGAAAATAAACCATTCCTATGTTTTTATTCAGATTCTGATTTTTTTAGGCATGCCATTCCTGTTTTACATCAGCTAAAGTTGGCCTATGATAATATATATATATATGTCTATATTACTAATTCAGTTATTTACCACTTTGTTTGTTTTTCAGATACTTAAATATGTTTGATCGTAAAAGTTAGGAAAAACGTAAAATTTAAACCTTCAGTGTAATGCTAATTTCTTTTGTTCAGATTCTGTTCTTATTGAAAGACTACCAGAGTAAGCACAATCTGCCTGAAAATGAACTAGCAGTCTTGGTAAGTTTTAAAAGTTTTTCTATAACAAACCGTTTCTGGGTGTATTATATGGTTTTGGAGCTTTACCACATTGTTAGTCTTTTTTAGGTTGAAATTAGCTTTGCAATCCTCCCTGCTTGCTTTCCATTATCCATAGTGTACGAGGATGAAGGTTTTTCAGCACCCATTTCAACAGTCTGATCATACAAATTCCTTAGGCACTGCATCTGACAACTTGACTAGTATGTCTTTGTATGGAATAACATGAATATTTGTTTCATTCTTCAGCTGTTTAAAGAATGTGACAATTAAACAGTGGATATGACTTGATGTCTTATCTTGGTGATTCATCACCTGTTGAACTAGTTTACAGATGGAGGTCTATCTTAATTATGTTGAGCACTGTTGGTTGGGTCATGTGGAGACGACTTTTGCTACTGAACTTTGGGATTATGGATTCTCATCTGTTTTAAGATGCCACATTTTGCTTACCAATCCTAGGGTACAATCTGTTACTGGTTTCTTTCTGAATGGACCTTGTGCCCCAATTTGATCTATAATCTTTAGTTCTCCAATTCTTTGTCTTGGAAATTCTAAATACCCAATCTTAACAAATCTTTATGACCATAGTGTATGAATATTTTATGTTATATAAGACTATTACATTCTCTTTCCGAAAGGAATCAGTTTTGGGTGTCATCACACTGCCTAAAAACTGATGAAGAATACCGAAATGTAGTTCTGGTACTTTATATTAACTATTTTTGTCACATGACTTGATGATTTCTTATTCAAAATTTTTTAATGTAACATACTCAGTCTATATATTATAATAGTTTTTTGTGATGCTTGTATTAAGCTTTCTTACAAAAGTCAGATGATTTTCACATCATCCATTCTTTATTTATTTTAATTCATACTATGCCATTATTTTGGTTTATATTTACACCAACCAAACATTTGAATATGTTACTCATATTTCTGAGAAAAAATCAGTGGGCATTATAGAAAGTTATAGATGCTAGAAGCTCGACTATAAGATTTAAACGTCGTTCTTAGTACGGTAACAGAATTATATGTTAAGTATTTGGAGGGATTTATTAACAAAACTTTCTGGAAGAACATTTTTTTTTTGTCACTATCAAATACCTTACTGCTAGTTCACACCAAGGAGTAAGTGGACAGACAGTAGTATGCTACCAGTTAATTTCTCAGCCTATGAGTTTATAGTTGAAGATAGGTTTTAGGAAACACCATTTATCCCTTGATAAACGTGAAGAAAATGTTACCAGAATAACATAATTAAATTGGTTTATGTGAAGGTAGATTTAAGTTTTCATATATTTGAGTTAGTATCATTTTAGAAATGAATAATCTTGAAAGTAGTAGTATTGTAAGATAAATATCTAAATGATTCAGTTTTAAACATACATAGAAGAAACATAGGTAGTTTAAATCACATAAAAGTTTCCAGAAGTATCAAATAACTATTTAAAACTACCTGAATATGAATTGGTATGTAGGTTTGGAAGACACTAATGGCTGCAGTTGAGTGGAATAAGAAAGAAGAACTGGTTGCAGATCAAGCTTTAAGACATTTGAAGAAGTACAGTGCCCTGCTGGAAGCTTTCACTCAAAGTGGGAAGGCACAGCTGTCTTTGCTTGTCAAAATTCAAGAGTATTGCTATACCAATATGAACTTCATGAATGTTTTCAGAAAGATTGTTGTCCTTCTCTACAAAAGTATGTTTCAAATACCAAGATAAATATACTGTTTGTGCTATTTTGTTACTCTTAGGGTGTATATGTGAATAAAGAAAAATGTTTTGTTTGAAAATTCAGCTACCCTCGAACTTTTCTAATCTAAATTCTCTATGTGTATATTTTGTTTTATGAATGCATGAACACTAAAAGATGTGTGTGATGAGGTGTGGACTAGTGGTCAGTGTGCTGGGACTGTGTTGGATATACAAGACTGTTCAATTTAAGAGTTATTATTTAGTGATCTGGTATTTGATGATTATTTAGTTTTCATAACCAGAGTGTTAAAAGTTAATTATTTTAAAAGCAATAGTTATGACAAGTTTCGTTAAGTAACTGTATGAGTCATACATTCTGTCACATTGTTGTCGTCATCTTATTCGAAGCTTCTAAGTTTTTTATGTGTAATGTTGTTACCAGAGGGCTAGACATTCCTAGGTTTTTCTGTTGCATGTTATAAATATGTGCAGTAAATAGGTTAGTGAAAGTTAAGTTAGACTGTGTGATTGTTAGTATAGCTGTAATGGGCAATTTCTAAAATGAGTTTTACAGCTTGTATTGTAACAACAAAGATAAAGGAGAATAATTTGTCTTGCCAAAGGGTGTTTTAAAGTAATTGAACTGGCCTGTGTGCATTTTTGATGAAAAAGAGACAATTATTCAAAGCCCTGGATACAACTGTGATAACCAATAGTGTAACAAATTTTTGTACATATGTTTGACTTGTTTTGAATATATTATTTTAAAACAAGTGAATTGTGTGCTGTCCGTTTATTTAAATTTATTGCCAACAAGTCACAATTATCTACTGAATTCAGCCCATATAAAACCAGACAGACTATTAATCTAAGTGTACATGCTTTTTTGTCCTGTTGCTGAAAAAGTACACTTTAGGGTGTATGCACTATATGAATGACAGTCAGTCTCAGTCCTAATGTTTGGCCAGTGAAAAGTAGCCCAAGAGTTTGCAGTAGGTGCTGTTGACTGGTTGCCTATACTGTAGTTCATCAGTTCAAAATCAGGGATGGCTATATACGGGTAACCTTTGGGTAGCTTTTTGCAAAAATCCTAAAACAAACAAACTGTAAGATGTTGTATTCAGAGAAAAACCTCGTAGACAGATAGTGACAAAGCACTTTATGTCTAGGTGTTTAGTAAGATCTCATCCTTTCAATTTTATTGTTGTTGATATTTTCTAATGTATTTTGTCTTTATATTTGATTATAGTTTTAGTGTTTTATGTATGCAGAACATGTTTATATAATAATATAAAAGTTTGTTTCTACTTGAGGTTTTTTTTGGTTTTTTGAGGGGGTGATGTTAATACCCCATGAAGTGAAGTTATTTGTAAGTAGTAGTGTATATTACAACTAGTGGATTTGTTTCTCAATTGCTGTGTTAATATATGTATATATATATATATATATATATTATCCATGAGATAATACAAGATGTATTCAGGTTTATTTTGAGTTGTGCATTATTAGACCATTTAAAATGAAGGTAACCCTAACTTCCTTTGGAATAATTGTTGTAACCTACTAATTAGGCTTGTAGATTCCAAATTCATTTTGAAGTTAAAAGTTAACATCAGACCTCCATGTGAAATCTTTAAGACCTATAAAGACTGTTTTTCTTCACATCTTTTAATTTTGGTCAAACTGACAAAAAAAATAAACCTATATTTTTAACCAAAAACATTGCCAAAGAAATTTCGATCATAATATTACCATAATTATGCAATGAAATACAATCCTTTTGCAGCATTTCTAGATGTAGGAAATGATACAGGCTTCATTGTGAGAACTTGCATGGTAGAACATCACTTACAAAGTAAAGGATTTCTTCATGGAGACTGTATATTCTATAGAGATTAACATTTATTATTAGTCAAATATAAATTATTTTTATACATTTTTAACCCTATATTTTGGTTTGTGAAACCAATTTTTTCTATATATTCTTATGTAAAGGAACCTTTAAAAACCTTTATTTTTGTAGTGGCCCACTAGGAGGCCTGTAATATTTTAACATAGGTGCAAAATATTGCTATTTTAAACATATTAAGAATATTATTGTTTAACAAAGAAGAAATATTGCTGTTGTAGTTTTATTGAGTATGTGTAAGGTTTCTAGTTGGTGACATGTAAGTTAAAAGTAGTTTGATTAATCCCATGCAAATACAAGAGATACTCCTCACTAAATATAGAAATAATTAATGGGACAATTTCATCTTTTGTAGTCTCGTGGTTATAAATCAAACTACTGGTTCATCTGAAGTGTTTGGGTTATTTTACATGTAACTTTCTTTAATACCTTTCATATGTGGTATGCTTTTAATATTATGGATCTTTAAAAATCTTTCATTTTTATAGTGTCTAATATTTTTACATATTGTACTTTTTGAGGCAATTCTGATATTTTGTTGAAAATGTCATTATTTACATATAACTTAAGGGAAAGTTGTGATTTATTTTAAAATACTCAGGAAATGCAAGTCTTAGGAAAAGATGCACAAAACATAGAAATGAAATGCATACCTATATAAATTTTCTTATTTTTAAACCTATATAGACAAACATTGTGAAAGAAAAACACCTGAAGTTGAACTTGTAATGGACTTATACTTGTTCTTCAAGTATTCAAGTGTAGGATATGAATATCTTGTACAGGTTCAGTTTGATGTTGACATGGAGAACACACTTTTATGACGTATTTCATAAAGGTGGTTAACTTTTAGACCAGTTAGGAAAGCTATTCCGACATATTTCAGGAAGTTGGTTAAGAGATATGCAAAGCAAATGCCTTTTTGTGTAGCATACAGCAGGATACGAAAGTGTCAGATCAGAGGCGTACTTAAAAAATTTGGGCTTGGCCCATAGGCATGGGAATTTTCAGCATTTCAGTATGATATCGATTGTGGTTTTCTGTTCTGGTTTTTCAAGACACCAACTGGGAATTTGGAGCATGAGTCCCATGTGCCAGTGCTTAGTGACTGCTCTGCTTCAGATGAAAGTCACATTGGTGTATCTGCACTTCTTCAAAATATGTATTTTTATTGTTCCTCAATCACATAGGAACTTACTTTAAACTTGTGTAACATCTTGTATAATAATTTAATTGGGTTGATTTGAAAAGTTATGTTAGAATATATAAATGTAGATGTAGATAGCAGTAGTCATGATAGCAAACTGTTCAAAATATATCAATAATTGGCTGATTGATAAGCAGAGTTTGATTGGATAACCAATTATGAAAGAAATGAGTCAGATGTAGGATGTTGAACATTGAAGGATTACTTTAGGTATGAAGACCTTCTATCAGAACATTGTGTCACACCTGTTCAGTAGAATCCTGAAATCTAGTATCATGTGTTACCTGAATCCAGGTAATACATTAATGATCTGTCTTGTTCATAGAACACTTGCTAAAAATTATCCAAGATATCAGATGAAGAAATTGTAACCACTGGTGATGAGTGGAAATGTCTGTTTATGAGGTTCTTGATAAAGCATAGGATACATATAGAGTGGACCATTACTGGAGAAAAGTTTTCATGGTCATTTGAAAACATTCTTAATACTGAATGAAGTTGCCGAAACCTGTTTCATCATGTCTCTCTATCAATAGAAAAAATGTTGCAGAAGAAAGATAATTGTTGAGTGAGTGTATACCTTGTACCTAAGAGTTACTAGAGCCAGAGCTACTAGAGGAGCATATCCAAAGTATCAAGATAAAAATTAGAATCTGAAGAAATGAGTATGAAGGTTATAGAAGAATCTAAACATAAAAATTAAACTAGAGAAAATATGACTTTTGATGAAGAATTTTCTAAAAGCATATAAAAAAAAACTTTTAAAAGCCATACAGAAAAAGGGCTTCAAAGGGACTAGTATTTATTCATCGGTGAATGCTAGAAGTAACTCAAAAGTATCGTAGACTAGCTTGATGGGCTAGAATAAAACAGCATCTTGTACAATAGTACACTAATGAAGGCCATTTTATTTTATTTTTTAATTAGTCCGGCCATAATTTATCTTAGATGTTAATATATATTTAGTACATATTACGTAAAGAAAACGTATAGTTTATGTAATTTCTACTTTTTTTGTTTGGATTTTCGAAGTGAAAGTGGAGAGAAAAGTTTTTCTTTTCATTAAAAATATTTCAATAATTTTCGTAAAACTCCTATATATTCCTGTATTTTAAACTTTAAATTTCTATTTTTTGACAGTAAAAACTGCTGGGTATTCTGTAGTTAGTTATTTTCATTACCAGGGATATTTTATCTCTGAGCATGCTGTATGCTTAAAATGATCTGAGGTTAATAACTCTTTCTGGACTGACTTTGATCATTGAATGGGAAATTACATATGAATTGTTACATATCTAGTGATTAATACAGTTTCCAAGTATAGTAAATTTTTCTTTACATTCAAGAGTATTTCATACAATGTTTTTGATAGAACTGGATAACTTTGTAAATTACTTATTTGTTTTATTTACTCATCACAATTGTAAAAAATGATGTAGGATATCCATCAAACAGATAAAAATACTTTGATATTAAAGTGTGTTCTCATAGGAATTTCATAAACTTCGTTATACATTTGTAATTTTGTATGTTTGTGTAGCTGATGTACTGAGTGAAGACATAATTTTGAAATGGTACAAGGAAGCCCATTCTTCTAAGGGCAAAATGGTTTTCTTAGAACAAATGAAGAAATTTGTTGAATGGCTTCAGAATGCTGAAGAGGGTAAGTGTTGAATTATTTTTCAATAGCTTATGTGGTTGAAAACTATTTTATTTCATCTTGGCCAGTTACTTTTGTGAGTATCCGAAAGATTAATAAAAACAGGTTTCATAGTTCTTTTTTTTTTTTAGTAACAGTTAATGAATGCTTTACTGTAAGACCTGGTTCATCTCTAAGAACTTTATCATAGCTTGTGAAATTAATCAGATTTTATAGGCTAAGTTAGTGTTGATTCTGTCATTTCTTGAACAGAAAGTATAAGAAGAATTAGTAAATTATCTGTTTAGACTGAGTGCTGTAATTATATTCATAATAATTGTTGTTTTTGAGGAGAAATGGAGCTTCACAATATTTTTCTCTATCTGCTTCAAACTTATAATGAACTAAGAGTGTGAAACAAGGTATATTATTAATGTTTTTCTACATTTTCTTAGTGGAGTATGATGATCAAACCCTCTGACCAAGATTAATCATTGCAAAATTGTTATTTGATTTGTGTCTTAAAATTACTCCATGTAATTTTTTCAAACCTACCTGTAGCTAGTTCTAATGAACCTGAAAAACAAGGAAGCTAGGAATTGAAATAAAACAGGTCATTACAACCAGACCATTAGGGATCATAAGCATAATAAAACCTAACATGTCTTGATTAACAATTACCATTAGAAAAGTGGAATTTACCCTCCAAATGTTAAAAATATAATAAAATACTATAAAAAAGAATTTCCCTTTTTTTTCCCCTTCTCTCAGTTTATGTTCATATACATTTATGGATGCATTTGTTTATACAATTCTCTCTCTCTCTCTTTTTTTTTTTTTTTTTTTTTTT